AAAAACTTTTATAAAATTAAGAGAAAGAAATTGCAATGATAGGGGAAAACTGATGCAAATTGATTGAAACATGTGCCTCAAGAAATCAAAGGGTTGAGACGGACGATGTTTGTGAAATCGTACTATACCGATGATCTGATCGAAAAACTTCATATTGAAGGTTAAGTCAGTGTAGAAATTATATCAGTATAAAATGGTTGAATTACAATTAAACGATGATTAAACTTTATCGAACTGTACGATTTTGATTACAAAATTTAGCTAGGAGATTTGAAGGGCTAGACGTGTTAAGACTTAGTAGAGAAGCTCCCAAGTAAAGCAACTTCTCTCTGTCGCTTCATTTATATCTGGCAGTGGTTCAATATAATTGCCACTAGCACAATGCCTGCCCGTTGGTCGGATGAGTAACATCAATAGTATAAACACTATTAGTAAATGCCTCAAGCTACGTTGTCGTAGTCTTGTTGAACTTTTCTTTGATATATTTTAATAAATATAATTTTTTCACCTAAAAATTTCTAAAATCAGATTTGAGACCAAGATATATATGTTTTTTTTATAAGAACCTTATGGATACTTTTATTAATCAGACTGAGCGGTTACATTATCCAGTATAAGCTGATCAATAAGGAAAATCGGTGGTCTCTCACCCCATACCACTCTCTTGTTCCATCTAGTTTCTGAATATGCCATCAAATGAGCTGCACAATTTGCCGTTCGAGGACAGTGTCTCCAAGATATGTATGTTAAATTGTGGGAGAATGAAATTATAATAATTGTAGCCCTTGATATGCACCATAGTCCCATCTCTTTTACTTGGATGTTTGAAGATCAAGCTGGAGCATTATTCTGCCAATTAGATGATTCTCCATGGGAAATATTTCTTCGAAGCATATAGTATAGATACATTACAAAATTCTCAATAATAGTATGAATTAACTCAATAAATCAAAATAATAACAAAGCATGTGTAGCATAACGAAGTAATATGTTAGAGGCAAAGAATTTTTTATTAGAATAATCACTACAATAATATAATTCTCTCACCACGATTTTATCGGAACCAATGAAATAAAAAATGTAAGAAAAAAAGTTGATGCTATTGTAAAAGACAATTATATATAAAAAAATCCTAGGCTTGAGGTAATATAATCTCATAATTTCTTATAGTTGGCCCAAAAAAACCTAAGAAATAAACTATGTTGGCTACTGGTTTCAAATTTTGAACTTTTAAATGAGAATAGTTATCTACATTTCATTGGTCTAAGAAAACAACCAATACCTAGAAAATTACTTGAGAAGTAAACTAATAATTAATTAGAAAATCATTGATAATTACATTCATAAACTTCCTCGCTCTTATTCTCCCAACCAACTTATCAATCATCAATTCATCAAGACGGGATGGATTGTAATTTTATTTTGTATATGTTGTAATACCAAATATCAATTAAGGAATTAGGAATCGAAAATATAGTTATTTTTACGAAGTCTCTTTACCAATTGTAATAATTAACAATTTTACTTTAGAATTAAACTAAGTTATTAAAAAGACAAAGCAACCTTCCTAAAATCACTCATAAGGCTGAAAATTCAGAATTAAACATGTTATTATTGAGAACTTTTTTATATTACTGTTGAGATACCAATGTCACAGCTTTAAACAATTGTACTTTAATTAAAATCCATTCATTAGTTTGATTCTAACTCAAATTGCTTATCTTTATATAATGGTGATATAAGTTATATAGAGGTAAATTACCTTAAATGGATAAAGTAAAACACAGTTGCCAATAATAGTTTTAATAAGTATATAGAGGAATTTTACAATGTTTCATATCATTGTGTCTATACATTTTCGTCCAAATTTCTGTACTGTATTGGAATAAAAGTGTACCTTTAATGTTGTGGCACAATTTGCATCTGTAAGTTTTCGTAAAAGTTACTTTATAATATAAACTAAACTTCTTTTTTATCGTTATTGCACAAATTCAAATTGTATATGCAAACACCAATACTTTGAAGCATAATAATAAGCTCATATATAACATAGAATGCTAATTAAAAAGGATGTGATTTTCTTAGTTGGAGTCCGGATTTAATTAAAAAGGACGTCCTTTAGAAGATAATTAGCCATATACTACAGCCCAACCTAAACGCTAAAACCATAAACTCAATTCTCTCCCAAAATTAAAAAATGCAAGCCCAACCAAATACATATAATAATTAATCACGTAACTCTTTTTTAATTAATAATGTAGAAAGACTTTTGTGTCCTTCCGTGGGACGCGGTCAGGCCTTCTAGTGCCAATTTAACCCACCCTTGGAGCGGAATCTCCTTATATTGGTGGGTAGATAGATAGATAGATAGATGTGTTTTATTTTTTTGCTTTGTTTAATCCCACAAATTATAGAGAAGCCCACCCGTACTCTGAATTTAGTTCATGACAAAAGACCCATGCACCCTTCCTTGCTTTGCGCACAACACAACAAAAAAGGAATAAGGTAGGTTCTCAAGGAGAATCTCCTTATATTGATTGGAGGATATCTTAAAAATCGATTTTAGTTTATGACAATATTTTGTACCAAAATCATTGACTGATTTGTTTGAGAAGATGTATTTGGAACATATGTGGTGCATAAACTACATGTCTACATAGCAATTTCCTCCATTGTTGTTTTATGGACGGTATTTTTTTGTTTTAACTTACATTTCACAAAATATTGTAAGGATACATCATATAATATATACACTATATACCATGGTGGTATTGCAAATATATCACGACATACAAAAATAATAGAATAGTATATCTGGTTCAGAATCTCAAAATATATGAAAGTGAATAATTTTCTTTTTATTAGTTTTTAAACAATATTAAACGAGTACAAATATCATTTAATCTCGTCATTCTTAAATTCATCTCATAGCTAATATTTGGTTATGAGAAGTGTTGTACATTTATGAGTTATAAACACAGATGTTTGAGTAATATACGACCTTATGTGTTATGGAAGAGCTTCATTACTATGCTCATAAGTATCGATGCTCTCGTTTATAAAAAGAAATTCAGGATACAAAATGAATTTATAATTTTAATGTTATACATTTATACATTTTAGTACAAATTTTTTCATGGTACAAACTGAAAATGTACCTTATTGGTACAAATTCAATTTATAACTATACCTTCTCGTACAAATTCCTTTACTGATACATACTAAACCTGTACATTCAACTTGTACCCCAGTGCTTAATGAGTATTATAAAATAAAAGAAGTTGCTTGGAAATCATCATTAAAAAATGTTGCTAAAAGATTTTATTATGACAATCATTCCGGAGGAGCAGACATCTCTATTCTTTCACATATGCACACTAAAGAAAACAGTCAATACTCAATATAATATGAGATAGCATGTTACACAAATCCTTTTTGGTCGTTGGTCATCTACAGGCCGAATCCCTTCACAACAAACAAGGCATATCTTATTGAGGACGAAGAAAATTCTAAAAATCCATGGCTTCTACTTCTACTATTCTTTTCTTTTTTCTACCAATAACACCAACTTGTATTCCACCATTTGAAAGAAACACGCTAAAAGCGATTAGAATTTTAAAGGAGATTAGAAATTAGATCAAGAATATTAATCCAGTCATCTGCAAGAGTAGATCTAGCTTTTGATCGTGCTACCCAATCAGATCTGACGTTCAACGTCCTTGGAACCTCTTTAACCGTAACTGCAGGGTTAGTCCTAAGGATAGCCTCCACTTCAGCTCTCGACACGTGACATTGAAGCAAGTCCATGTTCCAACTCCTATTATCTGGATATATCCATTCCTTGACCCTCAGGTTCTGTTGTGGGCCGCTCCCAATGACAAAATTTTGAAGACTAGAAATCTATGGATCTTGACCAACCCATGTATCCTCCCCCGACCTGATGACTTTAATTGCTCCCATGTTGATCACTTTTTGTTGCCTCCCACAGTCTCGCTCAGATCCAAGAGGATCTACATCCTTTTTCCGATTGTAGGAATCCTCCTCTCGGGAAGTACAAACCCTTAAGGAGTCTCCACGCTTGTTTTGCCAGCAGGGCCATGTTAAAATCTTTGAAACTTCGGAATCCCAAACCCCCTTCTGATTTTGGAGCGCAAAGAATTTCCTTCCTACACCAGTGCATGGTGCTTTTCTGCATTGACCCTGACCAGAAGAAGTTGGTAAGAAGGGAATCCATCTTCTTGGTAAGGTTCACCGAAAGGTGAAAGAGGTACATGATGTAGGAAGGGATAACTTGTATAACTGCTTTGAGCAAAACTTCTTTCCCTCAATGAGATAGGAGAAGACTTTTCCATGCTTCTCCCCATGCTTCTTCATTCTGTGAATGAGGGATTGGAAGGTTTTGTTAACTTCCATGCATGTACTAGTTTAGACATTCAGAAAAAGCACGAAATTTTTTGGGTATTCGTGTTCTTTCATGTTCCTCGGTCTCGTAATTCTGTCATACTCTGACCCCGTCGCGCATCATCCATAATTCATAATCCATAATCCATAATCCATAATCCATACATACATTTGGATGCATTCTCGATGGGCAAATAGAATTGAAATGCTTTGAATAATTCCGGTTTTGGTCATATGTTAGGCTCTGAGATGATTATGAGTAGGAGAAGATGACATATATGAACAAAGGTGGTAAAGGTGAAGGGGACATGGCAACTCCAAGCCATGAATCTGGATAGACGACGCAATTCGATCCTCTTCTTGAAGGATCAGCCAAGCTGACAAACAACCCAATTTTGTCCAACATGAGGGAGTTGGGATGGACCATCAATCAAAACCCTCCCACAATTCCTATAACATGACAAAAGGAGACCAATCAACAACAAATTAATTAAAGCCGTGTACAAAAGGGGGAGAAAGATCGTTGGTGGACACAAAATCATGATTCAGAGTGACGAATATTTTTAGGGTTTTGCTATTGATGAATTGGATTCAGAATTAGAGGATGCAACGACCTGAGTTAGGTTGAAGCAAAAAAGGGATAGAAGCCCTCCTAAACTAAGAATCTAGCACTGCATTACGGTATCATAAACACCGATCGAAACAGTGGTTGAAACTAAGACTCAAGTCCAGGAGCAGAGCTCCCTCTCGTCCTTTTAACATCACATTCCAACCCGTTCGAAAACTAGATATCATAATAATAGTGCATGAATTCTTAAACATCTGAACTAAAACTTAAGCTACTACAAGACTTCAACCGAGAAGACGATAAGAAACTCTAACCGTGAACGGAACCTGCAAGCCTGTCACAGCATCGAACAATACCGCGAAGCAAAACTAGTGGTGGTATCAGTTCTATTCCCTCTGCCATCAAGATAGAAAATTCTTTCTAAACAAAAAAACCATCCCAAGCTACCTATGTTTCCTTTCTGCTCCATAATTACAATGCCTGTTACCCGGAAGGCCAGAACTCACCCTAAACACCTCACCGCCACTGGAGAAAAGACGCTGCTATACATGATATCATGCTAGGTGACCAGAGTGGAGGATAAAGGGTTCCATATAAGCGGGATGATGCTTAAACAACTTGTATGTTTGTGTTTGTGTGTTGTTTCTTGCACTGCCTCTTGCCCTGTTCTAAGGGATTAACTCCTGCCTTCAGAGGAAGCCATATCGCTTTTATCGGAGTTCAAATTGATGTTTGATTCCATCTTGTTGCCCGACCCAGTGCTGTTGTTTTGTTCCTGTTGATTCTCGTTCTTCTTCGAGTTGAGGAACCGGCCACCGCATCCTCTAGCTCTTCTCAGTGCATGAAGATGCCGAGACTCGTGCAAGTATGGCTGCCAAGTGAGTTACAATTGCACGTCATACCACATGAAATTGGAGTGAACTTTTGTAGTACAGATTAACTTACGCAGTTCAAGGGGTAAACAGTATACAGAACGAATAGAATATAACAACTGGGATCCACATAATTCCCAGTGATCCAGTTAGCGAGGCGCAAATTGGACTTGCACAATATGAGTTGTGATGAAGGAGAAGACTATCAGAGTAGAAAGGAGCATCAAAGCACAAAGTCTATGAAGTCTGACGAAAGTAGGAAAAAGACTGAAAGTAGCAGTCACAAATATTGCAGGACTACTATTTTAAGTGGCATAATTTACCTTTCTGTTCTTAATAGCTTTGTTTTCCGATTCAGCTTTTGCACGTGATTGCCGGCGTCTCAATATACCATGGTACTGTTTTGCATTAACAAATACTGGCTCCTCAACTGCATCTGATGGCAAAGGCACTCCAGCTTGCTGCATTCCCATTAGTTGAACATGAACCTGAAAATGCTTTCCTTAAGTATGAACAATAGTCAAAGCTGTTGTAAGTGAAAAACCATATTCCATCAGGAAATACTGCTACAAGCGCATGTAAGGTTACACTATAGAGACAGAAAGGCCCAATCAATTACCATAGGTGGAGCACCATATGGCTGCGGGGCATATGGCTGGGAATCATAGGGAGCAAATATGCTTCTATAATAAGGATCTGGATAGGGATAAGTTGCAGGCACCTTCATTTAAACAGGATAAGAACACATAAGTACTTCGACAATTCCACTATGTTTATAAGATTCCAGAAGCAAGGATTCTATTTCAGATGTAAGGAAATTCAACCGAAACACAGAAGTTGACCACATATATACAGAACGTGCAACTACAAAGGATTTAGGTACCATAGCTTGTCCAGCCCCAAGTTGCGGAGCAGGCGAGAAAGGAATGTTCAGGGCTGGACGTGTCACTGCTGCTGGAGGCGGAGATTGAATCTGATGTTCTGAGTTTTTCAGTTGCTCGTCAGCTTCATTGTTTTCTGAAAAACGATCTTTCAAATGCATGAATATGATATGCTTGCCACAGAAACAAGTTTTACTACAGCCCCTCAGATGAAGCTAAAATTGTACCAACATTATCAGCAAGGAAATTATTGTGGAGAATAAAGCCACCTACTGAAACCAATGACGACTGTCCATTACATCCGAACAAGAAAAAGTTAAATGGCTCCCTAACACAGAACCGACTGGTGCAACCAATTCAGTAAGGTAAATTCACAATCTTTTAAAGGACATTGAACTTTATAAGCTCGTACAGTGGGTTCTGAAAGTAAATAACAAGTTGTCACAATTATGTAACCACCAAGACCAAGCTGCACCGAGTTATTGAGATAAATACCAGAACGATCATGCGTTGACGACGTCATGAGCCCTCCTCACAGAAGCAGGATGGCCAAAGTCTGCAGCAAAAATAAAGGACATCCAAACTTCAAATACAAACGCAAGAAGGAGTCCAACATGATCAAATGAAATTTACTGCAAGCAGCCGAGAAAGCAACAGCATGAAGGCCGTCCGTTGATGAATAACCATGCATATACTAACACGCATCCGAATTCCGCAGCATCAACAATTGAAGCAACGGACATCCATACAGGAAGAACAGAAAATCCCCAAAAAAGGAAAAGAGGTAAAAACAGTTTGCATGAACAAATTAGTAGCAGTTGAACAGTTGAAAACCAGATATCTCGCATGATCAATCCCTAACCCTGAAAATAGAGTTGAATAACCTAGCAAAATTCTAAAATTCCCGGTCAATGCAGCCAGACTAACAAGTCCCTCGCCCCATTAAACCACAGCGAACAGTGCGCCAACTATGGCACAAATTCAACAGAAATCGGCCGGAAAACTCGAAATTCCGTTGAATTGTGGGTACGGAAGACGAAAAGGACAGCCGACCGAGGAGGAAAAGAAATAAAAGAGAAGAAAGAGGCGGCGGCGGCGCAGATTCGAATCGAGATTGAGGAACTAACTCGACGGATTACGAACGGAACACAAACCTGAGAAGGAAACGGAATTAGGGTTTGTAAATGGAAACAAGCACGCTGACCTTTTCCGATTCGGTTATCTTCTTTGCTAGCAGAGCTCAGCTGTACGGTTTCGGTTGATACCGACTTCTTCCCCCGCTGCAGCAGCTGTTGCTTCTGTTGCCACAAACGAAATGGAATCCCTTCTCTCTCTGTCGCGCTGTGGCTATTACAGAGAAGGTAACTAAAACCCCATACCGAAAAAAAGAAGAAAATAAAGGGTTCGTTTGCTTCAAGGATTTAAAAATGAGGGTTTTGTAATTATAAAACCCAAGGATTTATCAAGGATTTGAGGCATCATGGATTTGTAACAATCCTTTGTTTGTTGGGATGTTTTTATCATGGATTTAAAGGTGTGGGATTTACTACTTGAAGTCAAAAATTACATTACTGCCCTTTTCTATATGTTTGACATGTTTATGATATGTACACAAAACAAGGACAAAAATTCAAAATTACCTTACTATCATTTTCTATATGTTTGACATGTTTATGATATGTACACAAAACAAGGACAATACATACTAATAAGCATAATGTTGCCACATGGACAATAATAATAAACGAGAAAATTCCGTTTTAACTTTTAACGTAACATAATCAATTACCAATTCTTTGTCCTCCTTTTCAAAAGTAACATATAACAACATATATTAGAATCGGGAGAACAAAGAATTACACGTTCCATGAAAAGGTCAAAGAAAACTAGAACACAAGAAATGATATAAAAAATATAACTCATGTTTGCACATTAATTGAACGTTTATATTATTCATTTATTGTTAATTAGAATGTATAATAGTTAAATTTGAGGGCAACCTTGGAATATTAAAAGTGCATGAGGGTATATGGGTAAAATCTCATCAAGGATTTATGCCATATTCCAAATCCCACATCAATATGTGGGATTTATAAGTCCGTGGGGTCCACGGATTTGGACCCTTAAAATCCGTGGGCCCCACGGATTTGGTCTCCAAAAAATGTGCAAGCAAACAACGGATTGTACCTAAATCCTTGATAGTTGGTTTTTTGGTACCAAATCCATGTACCAAATCCTTGAAGCAAACGACCCCAAAGAAACAAAAACAGTTTCCCCAGAAGAATTACTTTTTTATTTATTTTTATAGGTCCCCAGAAGAATTACAGGAAACAACCTCCTCTAGTCCTCTGTAATAATTTTTACCGATCAAAAAATCAAACGTATTTATATAAGTTATTTTTCTTGGAACTATTTATAGTCTCTCAAGAACTTTTATAATCTTATCTACTCCTGAAGAAAAAAAATGGAGTAAATTCTTTGAATAGAAGACCCTGATTTGGTGGGAAATGAACAGTACAATTAAGGAACTGGATGGCTAAAGGTCACCCTATTTTTACTATTATCGCCCTAACTTAAACTGTAGAATTACTAAATTATCCTTCGTTCACCCAAACTGCCACTAACATCCCTCATTCATCACCCAATAATCACGGGAATGGATCAGGTCAGTAACCTTATGGTGAGTAACCATGAGTAAATTGTCCACATCAGCATGACATCAGCATCCTCTCTCTCATAGAAAGCCTTTAATTTTTCCCTCTTTAATCTTTGACGGACGATTTCTCGCTCATTTTAAGTCGAAATTTAATTTTTTTTGCACAGTTAGATCAGATTAATTGTGCTCTTCAAAATGATATCCACTTTAATATATTTTTCGAACAAAAAAAATTGAGCCTTTTTTTACCAGCCTATACCATATGGTATTGACTGGTATTGAAATAAAAGCATACCTATGTTTTGAAAAACGTACCATGGTGGTATGAACAAACCAATACTGTAGGATGGTTGAATACATGATAGTAGAAGTATATTAATTGTAATTTACTACTTTTAACATTGTATACCACACAATACCACCCCGTACCAGGGTGGTATTGTATGGTATTGTGTGGTATTTTTTGGTCCTGTAATTTGTTCACCCAGAAATTTATAGATCCAATAGATCATGATGAACTCGTCCCTTCTGTGCAAACGTTTTCAAAAACGAATTAAAAACGAACAAGATACCATACAATACCACCCCGTACCAGGGTGGTATTGTATGGTATTGTGTGGTATTTTTTGGTCCTGTATTTTGTTCACCCAGAAATTTGTAGATCCAGTAGATCATGATGAACTCGTCCCTGCTGTGCAAACGTTTTCAAAAACGAATTAAAAACGAAGAAAATACCATATGGTATGCAGTTTGTACCGAGAGGCCAGAATTTTTTTTCCTCAAAAAATATTGAAAATTGATCTCATTTTGTAGAGCACGGTGAACTCGTTCCATCTGTGCAAAAAAAATTAAAATCCGAGTTAAAACGAAAAAGATATGAGTCAATTAAGAAAACTAGTGAAAATAAAAATAGTCTTTAATTCTCCATCCTTAGATCTGGATTTTCTAAATGAAGGGTCCAGATTTGGTTATTGATGGGTGCATAACCCATGGTTATGCACCCTATCTTGAGCCAATAATCACCACCGTCGCCGATCAGCACCACCCAGCCACCATTGTCGTCGGTCGGTAAACCAATGCTCGCCGAAGAACACCATATCGCACTTGTACTTGAACCTCGTCAGCTTCAAACCCATGCGCATGTTCGCCTGCATCCACTTCCCGACCACCACGCCGGCGCTGCGCCCTTCCTTTTCTCCTCTGATGACCAAACCAACTCTGTGGCCGCCCTCGTTGACGTGTGAAAACGACAACTTGGCAAGAAGTAAAAAAACAAACGACCTAAAATCCCTAATAATCCTCCTCCTTCTCCTTCCAAATTGTTATTAGCCTCCAAACCACGTCCGCGGCCGCGGCCGCCGCCGAGGCTTAGTCAATACTTGATCAAAAACACTAATTTTAACTCACCAAGAACACGTATATGATGCAAAGTGTATCCAGTATGTTGCATCTCGGAGCCCATAGAATTTTGAGTTCTCGATTAGAATAAGGGGCTTCATTTTCCCGTCCGTCGTCGGCGACGATAGTTCCAATTGGGGGTTTCTGAAGTAAAAGGTGCAGATACGTGGTATGACAGTTCCTTGGTTAATTGGGGTTGCCAATGGATTAAAAGATTTGTTGTCAAATTAATTAGCCCCATCAATTTGAAACCTGAGGTGATTAAAGAAGTTGATCGACGATTGGAAATTTTAGTGGAACAGTACCGTCTGAATCAATCAGTATTGGCCGGCGATGGGAATAAGTGAAGACATGTAATATTATTTTTCTAATGGGAATATAAGAACGATAAAAATAATAAGGATAAAAAGGTCATCATAATTTTTAATTTAGGGTGATCCATAAAAGTTAGGGCGACAATTAGCAACTCCCTTAAGGAAGCCGTCTGGCCTGGCGACTCTCCTCCTCCTTCAACAAACAGAAACGAGTGACCGCCGTGAATCTCCAGCTCAAAGAATAACACACACATATATATACGGTTTTTTTTTAAATTCTAAAAAACAGTAGATTTTATAAATTTCCAAAATACACATATTTTGATCAAATCGTTTGTTACAAAAACGATTTATACATTAATTGCTGGCGACAAACTGAATCAAAAGTAAATCATTTCAGACAAAATCGATCATTAGTTGATCGCCTCTGAATAAAGTGATCTATAATAGAATTAGGAAATTGCAATGCAAAGTATTGTTAAACTATCAATTGCACTGGTATTGCCTATTAGTTATGATGATTAATAATACTAAGCAGCCAGTTTGTAAAAATTATTATCCTTTTGGAAATGTGCTTTCTTTTTTAAGTTTATATTTGTTTTCACTTTTACCTCTCCTTTTGTGGTGGTGGTTGGATGGGGATGACGATGATTCGGGCAGGGAGGGGGGAAGCTGACCGGGAACTGAAGGAGAGCTAGTTCAGCCCAGCAAGCGAGTGGACAGGAGTGCACAGCACAGACACAGAAACTGACCGCTGACCTATGTTCTTACGTGTCCTGTATTTTTGTTTTTTCGTGTACTTGTTTAACTGCTGGTCTTCATTCAAGTTTCAGTAGTGCTAGGGTAGGGTTGGGCTCGGATTGGATCTGGTGTCGGTGGGACCAAGGGGAGGAGGAACCGAGGAAGTTGGAAAGGAAAGGGAATACTCACTCTGCGGCAGCATGGAATAGAATGGGCAATAGGGCCCATTAAGAAAATAATTGAACACTCGATTAGGCCCAGTCGGGCCCGATAGACTTCGTGGAATAGCTAGCTCGCCTATGTATATGTTTGTACTTTGTACTTTGGGCCCAAATCCAACACTTTGTACCCAAATATGGAGAGGACAGGGATACGGATCAGTTTGGAATGGAATGGTTATCATATCTCATCTAGGGTGGAAATCGGTACGGTATCGGTATCCCAATACTAAAATATCGAATACCGAATTACATCCTAAAATAAATCACAATCGCAATCTCTAAATAATTTCGGTATCTCAATCCCAATCGATATTATCGAATACGAAATTAATTACCTTTGCAATTAATAATTAAATATATAAATTAGATTTTATTGTTTAATTTAGGGAGAAAAGACTAAGCAAAGAGTTTTGAATTATGATATTATTAAGGAGAATGGGGGAGAGGAGACATCTCAAGTTCTTATCATTTGTAATCTTTAATTTGACGAATTGGAGGTTGAGAGACGACTATTAATAGTGATAGAATAATCTATGTATAATTAAATGACACTCTTGGTGGTTGAGGGTCTTGTAGGAGTCAAACAGATAGTCTAGTTGAGAGGATAAAATTCACACTAGCTTATATTTCGGTATTGATCGGTATTTCGGAATATACCGATCCCAATCCCGTAATCCCTAATACTGAATAGCAATTGAAATTCAATCCCAATCCCAACCCCAAAAAATAATATGTGTATTCGATAATACCAAATTTAGACAAATTCGGTACGATATTTTGTATATCCCAAATACCGGTACTAAACTTCCGGCCCTAAATTCTCATCATCAGGCATTAGTAATTGACCAGTTTTCTGCCCGTCACGAGTGTCATTTGTTTGTACTTTTCCTTCTATTATTTGTTATTTCTTTCAATGGTATCATATTTCTAATTTTCATATTTATTTATTATTGTTACCTATTATCAGTGACTTATCTGATATGAGGGCCGCTACATTTACTCTATGTTTTAATGATGATCAACAATAAAGTCAAACAATGTTGTAACTTCATTACCGCTTGAAAAATATTATTCTTTTTTTTTTACAAACTTGAAAAATATTATTCATGACCATCGAATCTTTGATTGATCAACAATTGTCAACTTCATAAGTTGTACATGGTTTAAACTCGTGTACGCCACCTTACTGACTCCTATAGAGTTGGTATTTAGACCATGTATTAACGGAGTTTGGCACATGATGCTATACCATATTCTCTAATAGGTGAAACACAATCTCTAATCCAAATCGTACGATTCATTTAATGAAAAATAATAACCACCGATTCTTATTTGTCAAAATATATTAACATACAACTAATAGGTATGAATGAAGGTGCATATTACACCTCGAGTGTACGCTAGCCTTTTCCACCATTATATCAAAGTACAACCAAACTATTCTGCTATGTTTCTTACCTTCAACATTGTACGAATGATATCAAAGCAAATGTTAGTTATTGAGACACTTTGTCTTCACTTCACATTATCATCCAATATTAAATATGTGACTGAGTGTAACTGGAATTGTGTGATAACTTAATACAAACATAAATGCGCTATGTTGTGCAGTCAGTATAGTAACTGAATTTACATGACATCGTCATGATATGATCCTGCGTTGATTTTATAGGACACCGGTCCGGGTACATCCCACCCTGGTATACATGACATCGCTTAGGGTATGACCCGCAGTGGATTTATAGGACACCAATCTAGGTATGATCTGTGGTGGTATGCATGACATATACTATACTACCCGAGGAATGTATGACTTAGCAAATTAAGATGTAAAATGCAATGAACCTAACCATGCATGTGATTGAATCCTTGTATAAATATTACTTATGATGTGGTTAAGTGATGACTTTCTATGACGTGATATAGGAAATGTGCATGTCGATGATGATGGTTTTCTATGGTATTTTATACAA